ATTCAGACAGGTAAAACTAACCCGACAGAGCATTCAGACAGGTAAAACTAACCCGACAGAGCATTCAGACAGGTAAAACTAACCCGACAGAGCATTCAGACAGGTAAAACTAACCCGACAGAGCATTCAGACAGGTAAAACTAACCCGACAGAGCATTCAGACAGGTAAAACTAACCCGACAGAGCATTCAGACAGGTAAAACTAACCCGACAGAGCATTCAGACAGGTAAAACTAACCCGACAGAGCATTCAGACAGGTAAAACTAACCCGACAGAGCATTCAGACAGGTAAAACTAACCCGACAGAGCATTCAGACAGGTAAAACTAACCCGACAGAGCATTCAGACAGGTAAAACTAACCCGACAGAGCATTCAGACAGGTAAAACTAACCCGACAGAGCATTCAGACAGGTAAAACTAACCCGACAGAGCATTCAGACAGGTAAAACTAACCCGACAGAGCATTCAGACAGGTAAAACTAACCCGACAGAGCATTCAGACAGGTAAAACTAACCCGACAGAGCATTCAGACAGGTAAAACTAACCCGACAGAGCATTCAGACAGGTAAAACTAACCCGACAGAGCATTCAGACAGGTAAAACTAACCCGACAGAGCATTCAGACAGGTAAAACTAACCCGACAGAGCATTCAGACAGGTAAAACTAACCCGACAGAGCATTCAGACAGGTAAAACTAACCCGACAGAGCATTCAGACAGGTAAAACTAACCCGACAGAGCATTCAGACAGGTAAAACTAACCCGACAGAGCATTCAGACAGGTAAAACTAACCCGACAGAGCATTCAGACAGGTAAAACTAACCCGACAGAGCATTCAGACAGGTAAAACTAACCCGACAGAGCATTCAGACAGGTAAAACTAACCCGACAGAGCATTCAGACAGGTAAAACTAACCCGACAGAGCATTCAGACAGGTAAAACTAACCCGACAGAGCATTCAGACAGGTAAAACTAACCCGACAGAGCATTCAGACAGGTAAAACTAACCCGACAGAGCATTCAGACAGGTAAAACTAACCCGACAGAGCATTCAGACAGGTAAAACTAACCCGACAGAGCATTCAGACAGGTAAAACTAACCCGACAGAGCATTCAGACAGGTAAAACTAACCCGACAGAGCATTCAGACAGGTAAAACTAACCCGACAGAGCATTCAGACAGGTAAAACTAACCCGACAGAGCATTCAGACAGGTAAAACTAACCCGACAGAGCATTCAGACAGGTAAAACTAACCCGACAGAGCATTCAGACAGGTAAAACTAACCCGACAGAGCATTCAGACAGGTAAAACTAACCCGACAGAGCATTCAGACAGGTAAAACTAACCCGACAGAGCATTCAGACAGGTAAAACTAACCCGACAGAGCATTCAGACAGGTAAAACTAACCCGACAGAGCATTCAGACAGGTAAAACTAACCCGACAGAGCATTCAGACAGGTAAAACTAACCCGACAGAGCATTCAGACAGGTAAAACTAACCCGACAGAGCATTCAGACAGGTAAAACTAACCCGACAGAGCATTCAGACAGGTAAAACTAACCCGACAGAGCATTCAGACAGGTAAAACTAACCCGACAGAGCATTCAGACAGGTAAAACTAACCCGACAGAGCATTCAGACAGGTAAAACTAACCCGACAGAGCATTCAGACAGGTAAAACTAACCCGACAGAGCATTCAGACAGGTAAAACTAACCCGACAGAGCATTCAGACAGGTAAAACTAACCCGACAGAGCATTCAGACAGGTAAAACTAACCCGACAGAGCATTCAGACAGGTAAAACTAACCCGACAGAGCATTCAGACAGGTAAAACTAACCCGACAGAGCATTCAGACAGGTAAAACTAACCCGACAGAGCATTCAGACAGGTAAAACTAACCCGACAGAGCATTCAGACAGGTAAAACTAACCCGACAGAGCATTCAGACAGGTAAAACTAACCCGACAGAGCATTCAGACAGGTAAAACTAACCCGACAGAGCATTCAGACAGGTAAAACTAACCCGACAGAGCATTCAGACAGGTAAAACTAACCCGACAGAGCATTCAGACAGGTAAAACTAACCCGACAGAGCATTCAGACAGGTAAAACTAACCCGACAGAGCATTCAGACAGGTAAAACTAACCCGACAGAGCATTCAGACAGGTAAAACTAACCCGACAGAGCATTCAGACAGGTAAAACTAACCCGACAGAGCATTCAGACAGGTAAAACTAACCCGACAGAGCATTCAGACAGGTAAAACTAACCCGACAGAGCATTCAGACAGGTAAAACTAACCCGACAGAGCATTCAGACAGGTAAAACTAACCCGACAGAGCATTCAGACAGGTAAAACTAACCCGACAGAGCATTCAGACAGGTAAAACTAACCCGACAGAGCATTCAGACAGGTAAAACTAACCCGACAGAGCATTCAGACAGGTAAAACTAACCCGACAGAGCATTCAGACAGGTAAAACTAACCCGACAGAGCATTCAGACAGGTAAAACTAACCCGACAGAGCATTCAGACAGGTAACCCGAGAGAGCGTTTAGACAGGTAAAACTAACCCGACAGAGCATTCAGACAGGTAACCCGAGAGAGCGTTTAGACAGGTAAAACTAACCCGAGACAGCGTTTAGACAGGTAAAACTAACCCGAGACAGCGTTTAGACAGGTAACCCGAGAGAGCGTTTAGACAGGTAAAACTAACCCGAGACAGCGTTTAGACGGGTAAAACTAACCCAAGAGCGTTCAGACAGGTAAAACTCACCTGAAGCTGTAGGTAAATGTAAAAATCTCTGCAAGTCTTGTCAACAGTTTTGAGTGAAATCTGGCCGTCTTCACACTCAACGGTTCAGGATGACAGAGGATCGCTTCTGCTTATTCTCAGCCAGAACACAAACATCAGCAGTGTGCTAGATGACATAAAGGCCGTATTAACAGTGAAGGTATCTCTCCGTTCGCAGTGATGATGCAGAGTTTCTGTGGCGTTTGGCGCGAGCGTCCCGTGATCTGGCGTTACTGTCCGGCATCAGCGCTGATGAGAAGAAGCGGCTCACATACGAGGCCTTTGACTACGCCAAGAAAGCTCTGGAGAAAAATCAGGCTTGCTTTGCAGCACACAAAGTAGGTGATCATTTCTGTTTGTAAATGTGTATTGCAGTGTTTGAGCAAATATTAGATGTTTTATCACCCTGTCGTCTGCAGTGGTTCGCAATCTGCCTCAGTGATGTTGGTGATTATGAAGGGATCAAAGTGAAAATAGGAAATTCCTACACCATCAGAAACCATTTAGAGGTAAGATGTTAATTGGGGTGAATTAAATAACCACACTAGTTAGGTCACATTCACCACTGAATGAATAAAACATCTTGACGCTCATTTCTACAGCAAGCGATTGAACTCAATCCAAAAGATGCAACGTCCATCCATATTCTTGGTTACTGGTGAGTTTGTATTCTGCTATAAACAGATAAATTTGCACATCACTGGCCATATTGAACTTTCGTAACACGATGACCGTTCCTTTGACTGTGTGTTTTCCCGGCTTGCAGGTGTTTTGAGTTCGCTGAATTAGCGTGGTACCAGCGGAAAGTTGTAGCAGTTATTTTTGCGTCTCCTCCAACAGCCACTTATGAAGAGGTCAATGAAACGAATAATTATATGATGTAGACCAGGGGTTCCCAGCCACATTCCTGCAGCCCCAACACTGCACGCTGTCCATGTCTTCTTAATCAAACACAGCTGACTGAGATCCTCAGCTCATTACTAGAGACTGTCAGACAGAAAGTGCTCCAGGAACACGGCTGGGAAACACTGATGTAGATGCTTACATGAGCACTGAAGCTGTGGGAGTAATAAATGTCTCATCTTCCTCAGGCTTTGGCATTTTTCCTGAAAGCTGAAGAAGGTCCTGTATGAACGCAAACACCTTCATCTTGTTTTTAATTATTTTACACATGACTTTAACATTTTAATATCTGGATTTAGTTGACCCAAATTTCTACAGTAAGAACCTGCTGATGCTGGGAAAGACGTACATGATGCTGAGAGACGTCAAGCCGGCGGCGCTGTGGCTCACTAAAGCACGAGATTATCCTGCAGTCACAGAAGAAGACAAACAGGTTCACAAGCACAGTTTGATCACGGTTATATTCATGTTATATCGTCTGCAGAGGCGTAATGTTCACGTTTGGCCCAATGCAGGTTCATAAGGAAGCGCTGGAGCTGCTGAAGAAACTCGACGGATGATGAGTAGCAGCTAAATCAGACCCGATGTTATCTAACAGTTACCCAGAGATGCCTTCATTGATTTTTGTAATGACTTACCACTGATTTGTGTATGATGGCGATTTATCATTTGCTATTTTAAGGTTCTGCCATTATCTGAGGCTGAATGAAAGGACGATGTCTAAATGTAATGCAGACTCTATTTGACTAGTACTGGTGTATTTCTAGCACTCTTGAATGTTTACAGATACGACGCTCACCGGCAAACAGACCCTGGACTGGCTGCAGATCAAAGATCACTCAGTGAAGCTTCAACATGTGGCTAATCTGTTTATCGTATAGTAATGAGGATTTTTATCAAACTCTTTTAACACACGTGTGCACCTGGATACTTCTCTGAATACTTCAGTTTACCCCCATCTTCTCACAGAATCGTCCATCCAACTAGAAGACACTGAAACTTAAACTATGAAACATGGTTTTTGTTCTTTATTTACATGAATCTGATTTCAAATGTTTTGGAAGCAATTAAACTAACAAAAATGTAATTTAACAAATCGTCTATATTTTGTTCTCTCTGCAAATGAAATAAATTCAAACAAACTTGAATATATATTTATGCTGGGCTCAGAGTTCTGTGTTGAGATGCAATTAAAGAATCTAAAAAACCCCCACAGGAATCTCCATCAGTGCTTGAAGAACACGAGAGACCGCAGAGTTTGTTTGAACTCATATTTTAATATGAAAGATATTCATGGACAGTTTTCCTCCCCTGACGGTCAAAGGCCACAGAAATAGTGAAGTGCTTCGAGCACAACTGATGTTCTGAGCGAGTGCAGAGAGAGACCACTACTGAGAGACAGCAGCAATACTGTCGAGAGCCAGTCGTGATGAATGATATGTGAGACAGCGGTCTACAGGAGTCCAATCATCTCTCAGTCTGCAGGCAGCCATGCAAGCGCTTCATCACAACTCAGTGTCCAACAAAACAAATCAAGAAAAACCCCAGGCACCTGATCAAACTCTACAATCATTCTGTAAAAGCTCTATAAAACTAGAGCCGTAAGTTTGAGTTCTACTATAAAATCCTCTCTAATGTTGTTTTTTTCCACACTCATTTTACAAACCCGCCAAATGAATAAAACGAAGCGTTGTTGTATATAGATACCAGCATAGAAAAGATCAGAAAAGCTCAAACGCTTGCATATTCATGGGGAATCATGTTATGACGATCGCTAAATGAGGTCTTAAGATAAAGATTTGGTTTAAAATGACAAAATAGCTTATTTACATTGGTAATCATCTGTGCAAGTTTCATGGTTTTGTTTTACTTGGCTGATGCGTGGCCATAAAGAGGAAAGACGCTTCATCACTCTTGACCGAATCCTTCCGTCTCCTCGATCGCAAAGAGCAGCTTCTCCTTCAGCTGTTCGAAGCTTTTGTAGGGGGGCAAATCCAGCCGGTTAAAGCTGCGAACAGAAAACACAGAGTGAGATGTGAGTGTCATCAGCCTGTGACCCTACCTTCATCCTGAACACTCACCAGGTGTGACTCCGGGGCAGCCACGTCTCTTTGCCCACCTTCTCAATGCAGAACTTCTGCGGTCCGTTGCTTCCTGGAGGATGAAGAATCAGAAGAAGAGGGTTCAAATGTGTCTGTGTCACACAGGTGAGGGAAATAAACAAGGGTGTTTGTGTTTTTCTGCATGAGTTCCTGGATTGACTGGAGACTCACCCATGAGCTCAGCGAAGCCGCCCAGCGGAAGCCTGCAGGTGCCCGTCACAAACTGCATCAGACGCAGACGCACCTCGTTATCCACCTCCTTCACCAACTAAACACACACACACACACACACAGAGATTCAGACCTCACGCTTCAATGGGCCAAAACCAGCTTCCTCTTCCAGTTCAGTCTGCTTTGAAATCCTGTGGAAACGACTAAAACCCAAACAGAAATCTCTTCAACATAAAATAGATATAAAAAGCAAGTAAAATGATTAAGGTTTAACTCAAATCTAATTTCAAATAAATTAGATTTGAAAAGTCTGTTTACAGCCGATATGTTGAGAGACTGCGGCTGGGCAATATGGCCAAAAATATTAGCATGAAATTAATTTACCATTGACAGGGTTAGGTAATGTTAACAAAAATTAACATGTCTGTTAGACCTTGAGAATCAATGTGAACATAACCTATATTCAAATATTCTTTATCGCTCAGCCCGTGTGACTCTTCCATGTAAGTCCAATAGGACAAAATTTCTAAAGTCTATTAGCATATAATGCTTCAAAAGTAAAAAAAAATAAAAAGTATATATATATATATAAATAATCACCTAAAAATCATTACAATATTGATTTATTTAACAGTAATATAATTAAAATTATATTATATTAGTTATTAACTTGTTTTTGCCAAACACATTACCATTTCCTGTAAACATTTCTGCTTTTTGGCTAACAATCTTCAAGTACAAAAATGAGTCAAATATAAACTCAATAACTGTTGAATTTCAAGGCCAGTGTTGAATGTTTTGAAACAGCTCCTACGGCAGGAGAAAGGAGCCTAGAAAGCGATGAAAAGAGCCGTGGTGCTTTCATACGAGACCTTCTGAAAAGACACTAGTGAAGTCAGAGGCGTCTCACACCTGCCAGAACCAGATGATCTGTTTGCTGTTGCGTGTGTAGTGACGATAGACTGTGTTCCTCTGCCAGTCCTGCAGATCCACCTCCTGCATGCCACACAACATCACCTGCAAACACAGAAAGCGTCCGTCACCGAGAGCTTCAGACGGGTTCAGGCGGCTCAAACTAACCGCTAACACACCTCCAGCTCCTTCTCATCAAAGTACTGCAGCCACTGCAGCGGCACCACCTCGTTGAAGCCGTCCAGGAACGCTTTGGTCTGACTCTCAACGCCACGAGAAAACCTCCACTCGGCCATCAGCCTGCGGGACAGAAGAGACCGTCAGTCACAGGAACGGGACACTAAAGCCAGTTTCACACCTAAAGCGTGAGCGTCAAGCAGCAGCGTCGCATGAGCAGCGTGTGAGCGATGGTTTTGGCGCCGAGTCTATTTTTAGCTGCACTGCTCACGCTCAAATAAAGTGACAGCACACTTTTGATGGACAAAAATAAAAATTGCTAAAAATGCACACAATAAGTAGCCTATGTCTAGAGTGTTTTAACAAGAATTGGAGTATGTCAAAAAACAAAAGGAAGAATCAAAAATATGTATATAAGATTTACCCATTTAAGCTTGTTTTTTTAATTATTCGGTTTCGGTTAAAGTATTGTGTAATATAAAAAAAATGATTTAAAACAGCACGTTCTATATCTAAGTATGACTGAAACAACATGATCTTAGCTGTTTTTATTGTTTACCTTTTATATGTGAATACCTGCATTAACATGCAAATCCCCAGGTTAACAAACTTTCAAGACTTTAAAGTTTATAACTGACCAACTTCTAAAAACAAATTTGTAGTTGTCTTTGTAAAGAAATATGCAGCTTTGGAGCCGCTGCTGTGATGCTGTACAAAAAGGCTTCCAGTGTGAATACTCTTTTGAGTCTGCAGCTGACGTGACGCTGTACTTACGCATGCGAAGTGAAACAGGCGTAACAGCGGCTGCAGCAACTCTTACCCAATATACTCCTCTTTATTCTCCTCCGTCACCAGGACATCAGCTCCGTCTTCTTTCAGGTCGTGAGACATTATTTTGCCCAGGATCTCCATGTCCACTGAGAAGTACATCTCCAGGCCGCACTCCTCGATGTTGTTGTCTCTGCGAAAGAATCACATGAGCGACGATCAGTCTTCTGTAGAAACGTTTACTGTGACCTCTGACCTCACCATTCCAGGTCATGGATTTGTGAAAACTGAAGAGGGGAACTCTAGCGCTACGATGCACTTGCTAGCCATTTTTCACATTCAAAAGGTCAGGACGGTATATAATAACCAGACAGACGCACCTGATCCAGATGAGAGAGTTATAGAACTCAGGATCTATTGACTCCAGATCCTTCAAGATCAGCTTCTTATTGAGCATGCGCTTGTAGAAGGGCAACGAGAAGCCAGTGTCAATGAACTTCCCGTGGAAGAGAGCCTGCAAACACAGAAATGAGCGACTGGTCTGCAGACTTCAGCTCTACTGATGCGTGTGTGAGTGAGTGAGTGAGTGAGTGAGTGAGTGAGTGAGTGAGTGAGTGAGTGAGTGAGTGAGTGAGTGAGTGA